GCCTATAGTTTGTCTTTTCTTTTTTTGCACCATTGTTTTTGAATATAGGGCAGACCTTTGCTATTTTTAGGTTTTGTTGGAATACTCCCTCTTCTATAGATGCATTTAAGATGAAGGTTAAAGGCTTTATAATTTGTGCAGCAGTTTGCTTGACAACTGTGCTAGGAATGCCATCAACCCCAGTGGATGTTTTATTTTTCATTCTTCTTACGATATTGTGGACTTCATTTTCTGTTAGTGGTGTGAAGGCAATTGAACTACATGTACTATTTACATTTTTCTCTGCACTGCCATCTGGAGTTGACACCAGTGCTTGAACAGAATTTATGAAATAAGAATTAAAGGAGTTTGCAACCTCAGTGGGGTTTTTAAGAACTTGTTCTCCCTCTATAATTTCAATGTTGCTATGACTCTTCCTTTCCCGACCTGTTTCTTTGTTTATAATTGTCCACATAGTTTTAGATTTGTTTGTTGATTTTGCAATCAGGTCTGCATTTAGCTCTCTTTTCATTTTTGCAACTTCCGACTTGTAGTGTCTTCTATAATTTTTACATTGTACAATGATATGAGGGTAAGTGGAAGTTTTAAGTAGCCTATGACAGTTAATGTTTTCCTTTGACATTTTGTTAATTTCAGGGTTTACTTGATATAGTGAGCCTTGTTTGTCACAGTATACTTTTTTCTTAGGGAAGCTTTCTTCATAGAGAGATTGATAGATTTTTAAAAATTTGTTGTACATTTCATTTACCTCTTCACTATTGTAGACTGTAGTCCAATCAGTGTTGTTAAGTTTTTCGCAGAATACTTCTATGGAGTTTTGAGAAATGTGTCACGGCCCTAAATGTTTGAAGCTAATATTTTAACAAATCTTCCTGAGTGGCCCCTGTAAAAAAAAATCCGGGCAGATCCGGGCGAAAACGGGCGAGCGCGTGCCCCGTGCGGGCACAGCCCGTGCACTGGCCGGGCTCAGGCCGGGCGCTCCGCGGGCGAATCCGGGCTTTACCCGTGCAGGGCCCGGGCGCTGCGCGATCCGGGCGGGGGCGGGCGACTGTCGCCCGTGTTAGCCCGGGGGCGGGCGGAGCTGGGCGCCCTCCCCGCGCCCCCGCCCGCGTGTTGCCCGCGGGCGCCCGCGCTGGGGGCTCGCTCCTAGCCGTTCCTGAGGCCTCCAAACCAGGGTATGAGTGAAAGCCCCTTGTGCGTCCCGTGATAAAATGGTCCTGTGACAACACTTGCGAACCATGTGCACAACGCGTGCACAAACATTCTGTGCACAACTAGCTTGTGCACAAAGATCGGCTCCCCTGGAGCAGGCACGGTGGCAGGTGCAGCTATGTCCAAGTGCGCATCGCGAGCACAAAGGCGTACCTATCCATTGTCCAGGTTCTGGTTACGGTTTCAATTTTTTATGATTGTTTATATTTTTTTCCCGATTTTTTCTGATTTTTTCTGATTTTTTCCCCTCGATTTCGTAGAGAATTGGCGAAAATCGGCCAGAATCGGCCAAAATCAGGCAAAATCGGGCAAAATCGAGCAAAATCGACGAAAACCAGGATCTCTCCAAAATCGGCATGAAAAAATCGGAAAAAATCAGAAAAAATCGGGAGAAAATCAGAAAAAAATCGAGAAAAAATATAAAAATTCAGAAAAAATTGAAACCGTAGCCAGAACCTTGGACAATGGATAGGTACGCCTTGTGCTCGCGATGCGCACTACTTGGACATAGCTGCACCTGCCACCGTGCCTGCTCCAGGGGGGCCGATCTTGTGCACAAGCTAGTTGTGCACAGAATGTTTGTGCACGCGTTGTGCACATGTTGTGCATGCGGTTCGCACGTGTTGTGCACAGGACCATTTTATCACGGGACGCACAAGGGGCTTTCACTCATACCCTGGTTTGGAGGCCTCAGGAACGGCTAGGAGCGATCCCCTGGACGCCCAGCGCGGGCGCCCGCGGGCAACACGCGGGCGGGGGCGCGGGGAGGGCGCCCAGCTCCGCCCGCCCCCGGGCTAACACGGGCGACAGTCACCCGCCCCCGCCCGGATCTGCCCGCGCAGCGCTCGGGCCCTGCACGGGTAAAGCCCGGATTCGCCCGCGGAGCGCCCGGCCTGAGCCCGGCCAGTGCACGGGCTGTGCCCGCACACGGGGCACGCGCTCGCCCGTTTTCGCCCGGATCTGCCCGGATTTTTTTTTTACAGGGGGGAGTGTGGGTTGCTTTATATAGCTTCTAATTTGTAAGGC